GGGGGGGGTGGGGGGCTGTGTGGGGAGGGGGGTAGCTCAGGGTGCAGGGAGAGGGTAGCTAGGGGCTGTGTGGGGAGGGGGGTAGCTCAGGGTGCAGGGAGAGGGTAGCTAGGGGCTGTGTGTGGGTGAGAGGGGGGTAGGCTAGGGGACTGTGTGGGCAGGGGGGTAGCTCAGGGTGTAGGGAGGGGGGTGGCTAGGGGCTGTGTGCGGGCAGGGGGGTAGCTCAGGGTGCAGGGAAGAGGGTAGTTCGGGGCTGTGTGCCGGGAGGGCTCCCCTGCCAGCCCTGTTCCCCGAGGGCTCCCCTGCCAGCCATGGAGTCGGGTCCCCCCAACCCAGGCGGCTCTTACCAGCTGCGTGAGCAAAGCGGTTCTGGGAGCTGAGGAGCAGCTTCAACCCCCAGCAGCAGCAGGAGGAGCCGAGGAACACTGTGGCTGCCTGCTTCATGGCACCAGCCAGAGCAGCAGCTGTACCGCACTGCCTGGCTCTGGCTTCCCGCCTCCGACCTGGCCGGGGATTGGGGAGAGGAGGAGGTGGAGAGGGGGCTGGAGCTGCCTCGGGACTGCCCTTCTCTTGCACTGTAGTTTCGGGGCAGGGGGGAAGAACATCCCCATGTTCCCCCGCAATTCTGCCCAGGGGCTCAGGGCTTCTGCCCCGTGGGGAGCACCGGGGCTTGCGGCTCCAGAATTCAGCCCTGCGACTCCCAGCTTCAGCCCGTGGGAAGTGCTGGGGCTCAGGCTCTGGGTTTTAGCCGTGGGGCCCCGCAGCCCCCCCCCGAAAGGGTTCGCAGACCCCCCATTGAGAACTGCTGTGTTAAATGAAGCGCCCCTCCTTCCTTTCCAGTCTTAGTCTCACAAGTGAGATCCCCCCATGTAAATACTGGCTCCAAGTTACTGTGCCCTTTCTCTTCATCCCTTCCTTAGAAAAATCTAGTTTCTGTACATAGTATGGAAGCTCTCCTACTCACTATGGCTGCCCTATATTTTGCTCTAACCAACGTGTAAATAATTGGTCCCTGCTTGGTGGTGAGGAGTGTGCAGGGTTAAAACTGTTAAATCCTACAAGTATTTTGCTAACTTGTACATGTTTTAATTCCACTTTCTCCATCTGTTTCAGGTCAGGAACTGTATGTCTAGATGTAATTAATCAAACTTGGACAGCTCTCTATGGTGAGTTTGGCAATCCACTGTGTGGTGACACATTTCATCATTTATTTGGTTTTAATACCCTAATATAGCTTGTTGGAGGTAAGTGCTCAAAGGTCTATTTTGGAAAGTGTGAGCCAAATTGTAGGTTTTTTTTTCACTGAACCAAGTTCAGTTTAGTAACAAAAGCTTGATATGAAAGTATTACTTAACGCATCTCCTTTCATCCCAAAGATGTTGAAGGATTCTGTAAACATTGTACTGGAATCACTCAACCCCCCACTAAAGTGCAGCCATCTCTGAGGTGGAATGTGGCAACTGCTCAACAGTAACGCAGCAACACTTCAGGATAGGAAGTGAAGAATGCTACAGTATCCAGATGAAACTATGGGGGAAATTTTTAAGTAACCAGACTGCAGTAATCCAAATTGAATTTTAGATAGGAAGGGTGAAAGCATTCTTTGACGCTGGTTGGGACCTTGATCGATTTTTCTTTAGAAGGTGGCTTCAGAAACACTTATTCCCCTTCACCATCAAATTGAGGCATTGTTTCAAAACAACTTAGGAGAAATGATACCATCTACTAATTTGTCTACGTCACTTCCTGCAGAATTTGTTTTCCTGGGAGGTCTCCCATCCAATTACTGGTCAGACATGATTCTGTTTAGCTTTAGAGGTCTAACAAGATCAATTTATAGTGACAAGGACTCAGGTAAATAATAATTCTTATGTAAGTCTGAAACTGTTAAACAGAACAGATATTTAATAGCTCATTCTCTTGTGTGGCGGGCTGCATCAAACTTCTCGTGTAGTTTATGGACACTATATTCACACTTCGATGTATAGGGTTAAGCAGTATCCACACAATATAAACTCTTTACCTTTGACTTTTCACCTTGAAAAGTTGTCTCATCTATTTCTAGTTTCCCTGGTTTCTTGACTGTCAATGTTCTGAACCTATTGCCAAAGTAACAAATTACTACTTTAAAGACCAAACTGCTTTAGTTTTCTTTCAAATTATGCAATGGAAACAGTGGATCCAAGAACTGGACCTGCTACATACCTGTAGTAAAAATGCCGAAGTACTTAGTTGGGACTGCACAATGAAAAACTCATGCTGTTATGTTGCAACTGCGGCTAGGGGTCAGCTTTTCTATTATATGTATTTTTTTGCTGAGGAATGCAGGAAAGACGAGTGGTAGTTTATAAGGTGAGGAGAGCTTTCTTTTACTTCTACACTGATCGTACCAGGAATGTTCATTCTCAGCAGTGGACTTTACCCTGAGAAAACCCAACAGTGGGATAAGTAGCCAGAGTACTAAATGAGCAATGTGCAGTTTTGTTCAACCGTCTTAAAGCAGCTGCAGATGACGTGTCTGACTGACAAATTAGAATTGCTTCACTGTGTTTGCTATTCTGATGTACACTAGCAATCTGGATACTGGTTTGTAAGCTGTGCAAAAATAGCTTCCTGTTTTGAGAGATGCTACTGTGGACTGTTGCAGCGGGGTTTCTACAGTATTTACGAACAGAATGTCATATGAACCCTTTCTGTAACTGGTTTCCTAAGAATGCTTCTGTATTTTTGGCATTTTTGTGGACTGTAAAGGGAGGGAAAACAACTGCAGTACTTACTGCTCTTCTATGATCTGTAAAGATGATCTCAAAGCTTTCAAAAATCTATAACTAGTATACGTTACAGACAAAATCAGGATGTACTGTTGGTATGCCAACAACTTGTCAAATAATGCACTTGTTTAATGCCATTCATCTTATTCCAAACTTCCTTATTTTTTCTGGAGGATGCTTTGAAGACGTAACTCCTTTTTGTTCTTTGATTGTGTTGCTGGTGTCATAATCTGCGTTAGACCTACCTTTTTTGCCCCTCCAGTTATAAGTCATCAGTCACCTTGACTTTTAGACACACAGCCATATACTCAAGAAACACAAGAAATTTCTCTCTGCAGCAGAAACACAGAACGATCTAATTTTGGAGGGTGAAAGCAATCTTGGAAAAAAAATCTTCCTATATAAAGTAATAACTATTTTGTTATGCATTTGACCTTTAAAACAACCAATCCTGTATTGGTAGAGAAGGTATGGACTAGCTGAGTCAATAGAAATTAGATGGAAAGTTCTTACGATTGCTACCAATAAATCCACTAGATTTAAGACCATAGTTTAGTAGATTCCTTTTATTTAACTAGTAAAGCACCAAACCCTTCTTAGCACAACAATGTCTTCATTTTAGCCATACTGTGCACATCCAAGCAATACTAAAAATGAAGCATTGGTTTAGTTGGGACTTGGAAAAGAGAGAACTGGAAAAGGCAGGCATTTAAAGGGAAAAGGGGCTATTTTGAGCTGTCTTTCATTTGGGCTTTGTTGCTCAGTTGCTAACTAAACTCCCCTTTCCATTTAATCTTAAACTGGGCAGCATTAAATATTTCTAATTTTCCCAGTGGCAGCTGGGTTATAAAATAAGTCCACATAAACTGAAGCCATGTCTACACTTACTGGGAATCCACACGGCTGTGATCAATGCAGCGGGAGTCGATTTAACGGATCTAGTGAAGACCCGCTAAATCGACCGCAGAGCGCTCTCTGGTCGACTCAGTACTCCACTGGAATGAGAAGAGTAAGGTAAGTCGATGGGAGAGCATCTCCCATCAATGCAGCGCGGTGTAGACACCGCAGTAAATCCACGTAAGCCGTGTCGACTCCAGCTACGTTATTCACATAGCTGGAGTAGTGTAACTTAGGTCGACTTGCCTCGGTAGTGTAGACAAGGCCTAAGAAACAAACCTGTTGCTAATAGTGTCTTAAGTGCTAGAGTAGGCAGAAGGAACTACATTGGAAAACATTCTCATCTTGGCTGGTGCCACGCTATTTTTGTGATCCCTTTTGAGAGGAGGACTACACTTCAAGAAGCTGTTGCACTTCAGCCCACAAGTAGCTGATGGTGACAACTGGCATCTCAATGCAGCAGCCTTGGCAAACTTGGCCTAGAGACATTTGTGTACTTAAGAGTGTTTCTTGTAGCCTTCCTTTCTATCTACCTGCCCTTGAAAAGGGCAATGGCTTTTCTGTTCAATAGAAAATTTTAAGTTTAAAAAAAAATAACTGGCATTTTAGAGACTCTCTGATATAGCTTAGTTATTTGCAGCTAAGGGCTGGTCTATCCACAAAGTTGCATTGGTTTAACTAAAGGTGTGATGTTGCACTGGCTTACTTAAAACTGTGCAACTCCTGTATGTAGGCAAACCCGAATTTCCGTCCCTGCTATGCCACGTTCACGCTGAAGTGACTCAGCTAGTCAATACCCTGGAGTTTCTACATATGCAGGATGTGTTCATGCAGGAAGGAAGATTTGACAATAAGTCTCTTCCTCGGTGCCATGTCCAGGCCAGAGGTTCCCGTGCGTTCTGTAGGAGCACTTGCAGGTGGTCTGCAGAGAGCTAGCAGTTCACATGGTGCTAGTTCTCCTAGGTTAGGTCTACACTGCAGCTAGACGCACGCAGTTGGCCTATGCCTGATGACTCGGCCTGAGCCCCACGAGCCGAACGGGCTGTTTAATTGCGGTGTAGATATTCAGGCTCCAGCTACCCAAGCTCTGGGACCCTGCCACCTCACTGGATCCTAGAGCCTGGGCTCCAGCGTGAGCCTGAAAGGTCTCCACAGCAATTAAACAGCCCCTTAGCCAGAGCCCCACGATCCCGAGTCAGCTGGCACACGCCAGCCGCAAGTTCTTAATTGCAGTGTAGACCTACAATGTAAATCAATAGGGGTAAGATCCAGGTGCAGGATATGTTTAATCTTGGCCTATTTAATAAAGGCCTGAGAGGTACAGATCTGATCCTAGTGCTGTCTCCATCAGGATCTGATGTGCTGAGAAACTGTGGGTGGGGTCTCTTCCTGCCCTCTCTCCCCCCCCCCAAAAAACCCCCTCTTTTGATTAACAGCAGAAAGAGACATTTTTTGTCGTTCTTTGTGCTGCAGCTACTCCATCAGGTTTTCTTTGCCACCAGAAAGGGGGTGAAGGATGAGGGGAGCCTACGTACTACCCAGATGAAAAGGCAATGCTAATAAAATAAAAAGATTGAAAGGGTGAACCTGCTTTTTATTTAAAAAAAAAAA